GGCTAATATAGGGCTTACAGACTTGATCTGGACTGGACTGGGATGTTTTCTTAAAATACAATTACTCTTTTGATATAAAGCTCTTTCCTATAAATATATGCATGTCCTTGGATTTGTTTCTCTAGTCAACCCAGACTAACACATTATGGTACCAGCAGAGGGGTAGCACGCCCAGAGAGATATGTTGCATCCCAAATTTGAAGAAATCCTCAAGGCATTTTGCCTCCTGCTTAGTTGGGTGTGGGTGGAGATTCAATAGCTTATCCTTCACTTCAATAGGAGTATCTCAACATGCTCCCCACCAGTGGACCCCTAGAATTTTACTGAGGTGGAGCATGCCTGAAGCTTCATTGGGTTTATTTCCCATCCTCTTGCACACAGATGTTGTACGAATGAATCTAGTCTTTGATACCTCCTCCTTAGTGGGTCCCAGCAGCATATGTCATCAATATAATGGACCAGTGTGACATTCTGTGGAAGAGACAGGAGATCAAGGTCACTTCTGACTAAATTATGCTACAGGGTGGAAGGGTTGATGTACCCCTCGGGGAGAGTTGTGAAAGTGTATTGTTGCCCCTGCCAGCTGAAGGCTAACTGCTCCTGGTGGTCCTTCGAGACTGGTATTGAGAAGAAGGCATTAGCCAGATCAATAGCTGCATACCAAGTACCAGGAGAAGTATTAATTTGCTCAAGCAATGAAATCACATCTGGAATGGCAGCTGCAATTGGAGTCACCACCTGATTAAGTTTAGGACAGCCCACTGTCATTCTCCAGGATCCATCTGTGTTTGTTTGTTTTTTCACAGGTCAAATAGGTGAGTTAAACGGGGATGTGGTAGGAATCACCATTCCTGCATCCTTCAAATCTTTGATGGTGGCACTGATCTCTGCAATCCCTCCAGGAATGCGGTACTATTTTCCTAGGCAATGGCAGTTTTAATGGTATCCACTTGGCCTTTCCTACCATGATAGCCCTTATTCCACATTTCAGGGATCCCATATGGGGATTCTGCCAGTTACCAAGTATGCCTATCCCAACGATGCATTCTGGAACTGGGAAATAATGACAGGATGGGTTTGGGGGCCCACCGTGAGGTGTACCTGGGCTAAAACTCCATTAATAACTTGACCTTCATATGCCCCACTCTGACTGGTGGGACTTCAAAACATTTTGGGTTCAGAGCCAGTGTCCAGTAATCCGTGAAAATTGTGATTATTTCCTTTCCCCCAATGAAGCCACTCTTGTGAAAGGCCACAGGTCCCTTGAGGGAAGGATAGAAGAAAGACTGACAGTATAAACCTGTGGCGATGTAGCATGGGTTCATCAAAGGGACCTGCCCTTCCCCTCGTTCACAGGATTGTGGGTCTGTAAACTGACTCAGATCTGGGAACTGATTGAGGGGTTGTGACTTTCTATTCTGGCGATGTGAGTTCACCTGATCTAGCATTCTTCTGGTTGATTCAGCGCTGACACCTGCCCCCTACTACCACTGGGACCCAATCAGCCCCATTGTAGGTAAATGTTGTAACTCACTTAGGGCAGTTCCCACTGTCAATCCTGCTGTACATAAAAAAGCAATCACAGAAGTCTTCAGAGATGCTGGGGCCCCTGCACAAATGTGTTCCTTACGGTTTTAGTCAAAGGTATGTCCTCGGGGAGCTCCCTTTTTGGGTCTATGGGATTATTCTGATAGATCCATTCCAACATACCAATTTCCCTAAGCTTCTTTTACAGTGTACCAAGGTAGGTCAGGTACCTCAAGAGTTGGTCTAATCTAGGCCATCTGGTAGCCCAGGCTTCAATGAACCAACCTAACAGACTATTAGATCCTCTCTTA